TCTTTCTCTCTCTCTCTCTCTCTCTCTCTCCCTCCCTCCCTCCCACTCTATCTGGACAAAAAAAATGAAAAAATATCCTCGGGTAAGGATAAAAAAAAAACAAAACATTTTTTTCCCCTTTATTGATTTTAGAGAGAGAAGAAGTGAGAGGGAGAGAGAAGAGAAAAATCGGTCCTGCCCGGTCTGTCTGGCTCAGCGGTTGGAGCATCGGCCCGCTATCCAGAGAGACCTGGGTTTGGTTTCCGCTAAGGGCACGTGCTTCGGTTGCAGTTTGTCCAGCCCCAGTTGGGGTCGTGTGGGTGGTGGCCAGTCAATGTGTCTCTCTCACATTGATGTTTCTCTCTCTCTTCTTCCCTCTCTCCCTCTTGCTCTATCTGAAGATGAATGCAAAAATGTCCTCAGCTCTGGCCAGTTTGGCTGAGCGGTTAGAGCGTCGGCCTGTGGTCCAGAGAGACCCGGGTTCAGTTCCACCTAAGGGCACGTATCTCAGTTGCAGTTTCTCCCCGGCCCTGGTTGGGTCATGCGGGAGGCAGCCACTTGATGTGTCCCTTTCACATCAATGTTTCTCTCTCTCTCTCTCTCTTTCTCTCTTTCCCTCCTACTCTATCTGAACAAAAAATGGAAAAATGTCCTTGGGTGAGGATAAAAAAAAAAGAGAGAGAAAAATTGATGCGAGAGAACATCAGTTGGCCTCCTCCTGCATGCCTTCCACTGGGGATTGGGTCTACAACCTGGGCATGTGCCCTGACCGGGAATCAAACCCGCGACCTCCTGGTGCATGGGTCGACACTCAACCACTGAGCCACACCAGCTGGACTTAATGGACTTGTATATTTTCTTATTCAGCAATAAAAGTGTTTAAGGCCAGCCTGGCTGGTGTGGCTCAGTGGTTGAGCATTGACCCATGCATGAAGAGGTCCTAGTTCAATTCCTGGTCAGGGCACATGCCCAGGTTGTGGGGCATGCAGGTAGCGGCCAATCAATGTTCTCTGTCATCAGTGTTTCTCTCTCTCCCTCTTTCTTTCTCTCTGTCTAAAATCAATAAAGAAAAAAAAAATTTTTTTTAAGTGTTTAAGGCCATGCATTTTCTTGTGAATGTATCTTTGGCTGCATTCTATAAATAGTGTTTCACTAAATTTGTTTTAAAATAGTCCACAATACAATTTTTAAAACTTTGTACTTAAGTATATAACACAGACAGACAAACAAACATATCAAAATACATACAGTTTGGTGAGTATTCACAATTTCAACACCCAGGTTAAGAAACAGAACATTACCAACACTGAGGACCAGCTACATATTTTATGGGGCCAAATGACAGATGAAAATGCAGTATTCAAATTTTATTAAGGACTTGAAGACGTTGACAGCAGAGCATTAAATCAACTGCAGAGTCTTTCTAAGTGCCCATGAAGCTCCCCCTGCCTACCCTGCTCTGGGCTGTCTCTCATCCCTAACCTCACCTCCCACCATGGGTATCCACTGTCCTGGGGTCAGCACGAGAATTGCTTTGCCTGTACTCTTTTGTGTCTAGCTTCTTTTGCTCAGTGTTATATTTGTGAGGATCATCTATACTTTTACATGGAGTTGAAGGTCATACACTCTCATTCCTATAGAGTTCAAACTAGTCTGTAATTCAGTGTTTTAAAAAATTTTTTTTTCTTTATTGATTTTTAGAGAGAGAGGAAGAGAAAGGGAGAGAGAGATAGAAACATCAATGAGAGAACATCAAGATAAAAACATCGATTGGCCACCTCCTGCATGCCCCCCACTGGGGATTGGGCCCACAACCTGGGCATGTGCCCTGACCAGTAATCGAACCAGTGACCTCTTATTGCATGGGTCGATGCTCAACCACTGAGCCACACCAGCCGGGCTGTAATTCAGTTTTAGTTTGTCACTGATGGAAGAGTTTTCTAAGAGAACTTGACATTTTTTCCTAGTGGTTGAGTACATTAGGCTGACCAAGGACTAACTTCCTAGTTTCAGGCTCTTTTCCTCTGAGTGAATGGGTCCTTACTCATAGAACATGCAGTATGAGTAAGACGCAGTGAGCGTTACTCCCTCCTCATGTTCTTCTGATACCCAATAAGGAAAAAAGAGGCAGAAAGCTAGCCAAAGAAGGTAGTCAAAGGCAACAGTTTTTTTTTTTTAACCTCTCCAGGCAGAATTTTTTTAACTTCTCTAGAGTATAGTACACACTGATTGCAGGTTAAGTTGTCTTGTCAGCCTGTGAGTTGCTAAGGAAACAAAAGAAATCGAGTCCTTCCTTGTCAGGTCAGGGGAGGCACCCCACTTCTATCAGTATCTGAACAGGGGAAAGGTCCCTGTGCGTGTCCATTACCTCCCGTAGTCCTAGAGAAGTGAGCAGTGGGCCCTTGCTGACATTGAGCACGGCTGGATATGAGGGATGAATAGTCCAGATAAGTAGTACACCAGTAGTTAAAGAATATATCGCTAAAAGCCACTCATACTTTTACATTTAAACCTAATCCTACATTCAAGCTATTTTATTATAATCAACTTGTACCAGCCAGACTATAACTCATATTTGATGAGCAAACAGAAAATCTTTTGTTGTTGTTGTTAATCCTCACCTGAGGCTGTTTTTCCATTGATTTTCAGATAGAGTGGAAGGGAGAGAGGGAGGGAGGGAGATGGGTAGAGAGAGAGAGAGAGAAAGAGAGAGAGAAACATCCATATAGAGAGACACGTCAGTTGGTTGCCCCACACATGACCCCAACATGGGCTGGGGCTCAAACCTGCAACCCAGGTACGCGACCTTGACTAGGAATCGAACCGGAGACCCTTTGGTCCGAGGGCTGACGCTCTAACCGCTAGAGGGCTAGAAAATCTTTTAACAAAGTGTTTTGTTTGAAGTAGAGGACCTCAATAATGTCATTGGGATTCTTTCTTGAAAACAACAATTTTATTTATTTTCAAATAGATATTAATAAGTTCATAATACAAAATTCAAAAGGCACAAAAAGATATACAGTGAAAACTAAGTCTCCCTTTCACATCCAGCTTCCAGCCTAATACCCAGAGGCAATCAACATTATTATCTTCTTGGATATTGTTTCAGAAGTGGTCTATGCAAATATATGTAATCTTTTCAATATTTTTAAAAGAAATCGTAGCATATTATGCATACTGTTCTGCACCTTGCTTTTTTATTTTTTCCTTTCCTGGAGTGGACAGAGCAAGCTCCTATTCCATCTCCCTGCTCCAAAAATCCATTTAATATATTGTCCTTGGATAGAGGACGTATCAGATATTAAACTCATAAGAACAGATACTACACTTGATCTTAGCCAAAAGGCCGAGAAGCGATTGCGCCTTGCTTTTTCACTTAATATTTTTGGAGATTATTTCATGTTAATGCATAGAGGTCTGCCTCATTCTTTTTAAAGGATGAACCAAAATTTTTTAAAAAGGTTTTTCTGTTTTTCCCCCCAGCAGCTTCATTGAAGTAAATTAACATCCATAACATTCACCTGTTGAAAGTATACAATCCAACTATTGTAGTTAATTTATAGAATTAACCACAATCCAGTTTTAGAACATTTCTGTCACCCTAAGAAGTTTTCTTATACCTATAATGTATCTTTTAATCATTTAATTAAACTTTGTTTTTCCTTTTTACTCATTCATTTTAACATTGCCTGGGTCCTGCCCTGGTTGGTTTGGCTCAGTGGCTAGAGCATCGGCCTACGGTCCAGACATACCCTGGTTTGGTTCCCACTAAGGGCAAGTACCTCGGTTGCTGTTTGTCCCCGGTCCTGGTTGGGTTGTGCAGGTGGCAACCACTTGATGTGTCCCTTTCACATCGATGATTCTCTCTCTCTCTCCCTCCCAATCTATCTGAACAAGAAATGGAAAAATGTCCTCGGGTGAGGATTAAAAAAAAACATTTCCTGGGTCCTGATTCTTTGTTTTGCTATCCAGCACTCATAGGGCTTAGAATGAGGAAGCTGCTGTGTTAGGAGAGCATTCGAACCTCACATAGCATTGATTCTCATGTAAAAAGTAATTATTCTTGCCCTGCTGGTGTGGCTCAGTGAATTGAGTGTCCTCCCATGGAGTGAGAGGTCCTGGTTGGATTCTTGGTCAGGGCCCATGTCCGGGTTAAGGGCTTGATCCCCAGTAGGGGGCGTGCAAGAGGCAGCCAATCAACTTTTCTCTCTCAGGTTGATGTTTCTCTCTCTCTCTTCCCCTCTCTCTAAAGATAAATAAGTAAATAAAACATATTTAAGGGAGGAGGGTGTCAATAGGGGGAAAAGGAGAAGCATCTGTAACAAAAATAAATTAATTTAAATTAATAAATTTAAAAAGCATCTTTTAAAAAAGTAAAGAGTAGCTATTCTTTTCATTCAAGGCTGCTGTGCATTTGGAGAGTGAGATACAGGAGATCCTGAACATTCCGCCGGTGCTTGCTTTCCCTCCTTCTCTCTCTCTTCACGAAAATTAGTAGAGCCTTAAGAACAACAGATAGGTTGGAGGAGATGGGCAAGCTATCTGCTCTCTCCTTGGGGCGGCTAATCACGACAGACAGTAGCTAAGCCACAATGGCTGCAGAGACGAGGGAGTAGAAGGCAGGTGACCTCTCCATGTGTACTGACAAGCCGTCCTCCTCTGGCGGATGGGCCCCGGGCTGATCAGACCTGCCGTGGAATAGATGGTATGCACACCTGCGAGAGAACAATGCGACCGCTCTGTCCAGATGTGAATCCTTACAGGGGGGTCCGTTGCTGTGGTTTTGCATTTCTCCGCATCTCCCCTTGGTGCTACTCGCGACTCTCTCGCCTCCAATAAAATGTTGTCAAGTAGTTAGTGCTCCACAATGGGAAATATCACTAAAATATACAGTGTAAATACAAAGCATTCTTTTCTGATCCTGTTCTTCCAAAATCAGAGCATTTTTGTTTGTTTTTCTCAGGACGGACTTTTTTCCTCCTTGTTTTTAAAATAAGCGATATGTGCTCTTTCTCTTCAAGGAGGCGGGGGGCAGGCGCAGAGATGCAGATCTTCGTGAAGACCCTGACGGGCAAGACCATCACCCTGGAGGTCGAGCCCAGTGACACCACCGAGAGTGTCAAGGCTAAAATCCAAGACAGGGAGGGCATCCCGCCTGACCAGCAGCGCCTGATTTTTGCCGGCAAACAGCTGGAGGATGGCCGCACTCTCTCAGACTACAATGTCCAGAAAGAGTCCACCCTGCACTTGGTGCCTCGCCTGCGGGGCGGCGTCATGGAGCCCGCCCTCCGCCATCTCGAAGCCACCTGCAGGCCCAGCGCCATCAACTGCGGCGAGAAGCGCGGACACGCCACCAACCTGCGCGTCAAGAAGGTTCAATAAGGCCCCTCCACCATCTCCGAGGGCGCGGGGGCCGCGGCCTGAACCCTGTGACCCTGGGGCCTCAATAAAGTTTCCCTTTCAGTGGCTGGAAAAAATAAACAAAGAGTTATGTACCTGTTACTGTTAATATACAGCCTCATTTGTCTTTCTATTTTCAAAGTTAATAATTCTCCAGAAAAATTAAGTAGGTGGCTCTGGCTGGGTGGCTTAGTTGGTTGGAGCATTGTCCTGTGCACCAAAAATGTGGTGGGTTCCACTCCAGGTCAGGGCACATGCCCGGGTTTCAGGCTCGAGCCCTAGTAGGGGGTGAGTAGGAGGCAGTTTCTCTTTCTCCCTTCTTCTCTAAAAATCAATAAACTATTAATAATAAAAATAAAGAAATAAAATAAATTAGAATAAAAAAACAAAGTAGGTGGAGCCTGTTCCCTTCATCTCTAACAGGGAGAGAGGAGAGCAGGTACCCAGCATGATCCACACAGAGCCCTGGGGGAAGGGAAGGAGGGCTGGGGAGCCCTGCCCACCTGGGGACTCCCAGCAGGGTGTCCACTCCCACACTGGCAGGACAAAGTCACTTCCTGGCCATCCTTAGAGGGCTCCCTGCCAGGGTGCCCTCCCTCCTGCCTGGAAAGACTTGAGACAACTTATAAAAGAGAATGACTATCCAGCCAGAGATCATCTCCGTGCACCAGAAATCCAAACTCAGGGGCCAGAAAGACTGTGGAAATCTTTGTCAGAAGTGAAATTCCAATGGACCACTTGATACAGATGCCCTCATGAGAGCCACCAGTGTGGATGGTAAACTAACTGATCTCTGAGTAGAAGATCCGGCTGCCACTCCCTAAGGACTTGGACATCTGTGGTGTGACGTCTCTGTAGACTTCCTTGCTCCCGAAGGAGGTCAAACTCCATTGCTAATGAATGGATGGGACATGGAGAGTCAGAACAGGGATGGGGTTTCCCCTTCAGTAGGCACTGCCTTCAGAAGCAATACTTCCGAACAGAATCAGAGTCCACTTATTACACTTGGATCCACAGCAGGCCAGCAAAGGGCATTTATACAAATAATTGCTGTATAAGTTCATGGGATAGGAGCTATTGGAACCCTGTTGCCTCCCATCAAGATTGACACTGGGGCCCTGGACTGGTCTCTGACTTTGGGTAGCAAGTGACTTTCCCTGTGGGGCTGGAGGAAGGTGGACCTGTAGACCTCTCCCTGAGATTGTTGAGTGTGATGCAGAATGCCAAATACTGCCAGCAACCTGTCCATCCATTAGGACTGGGCTCAGGAGTGCTGAATATTGCTAGGAATAAGTGAACAGGGCTTAGGACTCAAGGCCTGGCAGAGACTTGTCCTGTAAATGCATGTGTGACAATGATATTTAGCCCCCGGCACCTTCCACTCACAAGGACTGCAACTGGCATTTCAGGACTGAATCTGAGATGACTTCAGAAGTATGTGTTTGGTCAACACAGGTTATAAAGCCAAAAATGGTTGTCAGATTGGGCAAGGAAACAAAACTAGTCTCCCAGATCTGGTTGGGCATTTCTTCTATTTTTTTTAATCCTCACCCGAGGACATTTTTCCACCTTTTTTGGTCAGATAGAGTGGGAGGGGGAGAGAGAGAGAGAGAGAGAGCGAGAAAGAGAGTAGAAGAGAGAAAAAAACATCGATGTGAGAGAGACACACCGAGTGGCCGCCACCAGCATGACCCAACCAGGGCAGGGGACAAACTGCAACCGAGGTACACGCAGGGACCGAACCCGAGTCTCTCCAGACCGCAGGCCAACGCTCTAACCGCTGAGCCAAACCAGCCAGGGCCAGTCCCTTTCTTTTTCACTTTTTATTTTTTTATCCTCATCCGAGGACATTTTTCCATTCTTTATTCAGACAGAGCAGAAGGGAGAGAGAAAGAAAGAGAAACATCGACGTGAAAGGGACACATCGAGTGGCTGCCACCCACACAACCAACCAGGGCCGGGGACAAACTGCAACCGAGATACATGCCCTTAGCGGGAACCAAACCCGGGTCTCTCCGGACCGCAGGCCAACGCTCCAACCGCTGAACCAAACCAGCAGGGCTCTTTTTCACTTTGAAATACAAGGCACAGCAAAAGAAACAACTATCAAAATGGAAAGGCAACCCACTGTAAGGGAGAACATCATTGCCAATCATACATCAGATAAGGGTTAATTTCCAAAATATATAGAGTATTCATACACCTCAACAAAAGGAAGACAAAGAACCCAATTAAAAAATGGGCAGAGGAGCTGAATAGACACCTCTCCAAACAGGACATACAAATGGCCAAGAGACATATGAAGAAATGCTCCACATCACTAATCATCAGAGAGATGCAAATTAAAACAACAATGAGGTATCACCTCACACCTGTCAGAATGGCCGCCATCAACAAATCATCAAACAAGTGTTGGTGAGGGTGTGGAGAAAAGGGGACTCTAATACACTGCTGGTGGGAATGCAGACTGGTGCAGCCACTATGGAAAACAATATGGTGTTACCTCAAAAAATTAAAAATTGAACTTCCATTTGACCCAGTGATTCCACTTCTAAGAATATACCCTAAGAAGCCTGAAACACCAGTCAGAACAAATATATGTACCCCCATGTTCGTAGCAGCACTATTTACAATACCTAAGATCTGGAAACAGCTCAAGTGTCCATCAGTAGACAAATGGATAAAAAAGCAGTGGTACATATACACAATGGAGTACTACGCAGTTGTAAGAAAGAAAGATCTCTTATCCTTTGAGACGACATGGAGGGACCTGGAAAGTATTATCCTAAGCAAAACAAGCCAAGCAGAAAAAGACAAATACCACATGATCTCACTTATATATGGAATATAATGAACATAACAGTCTGAGGAATAGGGTAGACCCAGAAACATGGAAGTGGGGCACAGACTGACAACCCTCAGAAGAGGGGGTGGGGGGTGGGAAGAGATAAACCACAGAACTTATATGCATGTATGCATGACCAATGGACATGGACAACAAAGCCGGGAATGGGGCGGGGGGGATGGGGAGGAGAGTGTCAATGGGGTAAAAAAGGAGAAACATCTGTAACAAAAATAAAATTAAAAATTAAAAAAATCTAAAAAAAAAAAAGAAATACTCACAAGGTTTCACCAGCTTCACCAGCTTAGGTAAAGAACACCTATGCAGAAAAAAATGGTTCACTCTCCTGGTGTTCCTGATTTTCTGTTTAAAAAAACATTAAGTGCCCTGGCCGGTTTGGCCCAGCGGTTAGAGCATCAGCCAGAGAGCCAGAGACACCCAAGGCTGGTTCCGCTAAAGGCACGTACCTGGGTTGCAGTTTGTCCCCTGCCCCAGTTGGGGTTGTGTGGGTGGCAACCAGTCGATGTGTCTCTCTCACATCCATGTTTCTTTCTCTTTCCCTTTCTCCCTCCTGCTTTATCTGAAGATAAATGCAAAAATGTCCGCCGGTGAGGATAAAAAAAATAAATAATAAAATAAAATAACATTAAGCAATTTCAAGATTCTAGAAAAGCCTTAAGGCATGGGGGTGGGGACCACTTGCCCAAAGACTTTTATCTGGGTAAAAGATCTGGTGAGTTTAAGAGCTGCTCCCAACTGGGCCTTATTGACCTCCTCAAAAAGCCCTGTCACTGGCTCAGAGTAAAACTTTTTTATTTATGAAGACGAGTCTTTGCTTTTTCCTTAGGAATTTCAGAATTTGTCTGGAGGGCACTACCTCTGCATCTGCAAGCCAGATTAGAGCTGTTTTCCAAGTCCCTTTCTCAGGCTCCTATCTGGGCCCGGGCTCTGGGGCAGATTAGTGAAGGTGTGCAGAGCTTTTGGATGTCTCCTGTGTGTCCAGGGGAACCCTGTGGAGGGAGGCAAACCAGGGACAAATTGGGGTTGACATTAGGAATCCCATTTTCTTTCACTTGAATGTAGAATGTGAAAAGACAAAGTTTTGCCATGATTTTCATTTTAGCTATTCATGCAATTAGCCTGAATCCTGAGCAAGTCTGTTCTCAGCATGACTTTCTGTCCTTCAAGTTTAGCGTGCTCTGGAAACAACGAAACTCCTGCACGAAGTGTGGATTCTCTGCACCTCTTAAGCCAGGGGAGTTTAGAGCCAGAGGGAACAGCCGGAGGTGACCTGCTGCTCTGCTAGGCCTCCAGAAGCTGTGGGGAAGTTGAATTCCTAGTTATCCTAAGGGAGCCCATAATCTAAAAGGTGTAACAGATAATGTGTTCCTAAAACACAAGTTGCACCTCCTGTGTGGCAGCGAGAAGAGGAGGGTTAATAGAACTTTCCTCTGCAGGGCAGGCTCAGTGATCTGGGGGCTCAGTGTAAAAAGAAAATGTGGGGCCTCTTGGTCAAAAAGCAGGAAACAAACTGCTGTTACGCTCTGGCTGGGTAGCTCAGTTGATTAGAGCATTGTCCCGACACACGAAGGTTGCGGGTTCAATTCCCGGTCAGGGCACATACAAGAACAACTAATGAATGCATGAATAAGTGAGACAACAGATTGATGTCTCTCTCTCTTTCTATAAAGGTGGTGTTAAAGGAACACATAAAGCCAGACACACAAGGACATTTATATGAGGCACCTAGGGGAGTCAAAGTCCTAGAAAGTAAAAGTGGAGAGGTGGTAGCAAGGCTGGGGAGGGCAGTGGGGAGTTCTTGTTTGAAAATGTTCTGGAGCTGAATAGTGGTGATGTTTGCACAACAATGTGAATATACTTAATGAGCCCTGGCCAGTTTGGCTCAGTGGTTGAGCGTCGGCCTGCGGACCAGAGAGTCCTGGGTTCGGTTCCCACTAGGGGCACGTACCACACACACACACACACACACACACACACACACACACTTAATGACACTGAACTATACACTAAGAAAATGATTAAAATGGTAAATTTTGTTATGTATATTTTATACCCCCACCCCCACTCTACTTCTCATGGTGTTTTCTCTTTTTTTTTAATCCTCACCCGAGGACATTTTTCCATTCTTTATTCAGACAGAGCAGAAGGGAGAGAGAGGAAGAGAGAGAGAGAGAAAAACATCGATGTGAAAGGGACACATCGAGTGGCTGCCACCC